TGCCTTAGAGTTCGGCCTGACTGAGTTCAGTTATGTAGAAGAAGAAAAGGTGATAAAGAAAGAGAGAGAGAGAGAGAGAGAGAAAGAGAGGAGAGAATTCTGGTTCGAACTGAAAGAGTCAACCTGACTTCTCCCAGTCGGCTAGTAAGTATTTATATTATTATTAAAACATGACTGAAAAGACCTATGTGCCCTTACTTAAGTTAAGAGCACATGTTCCAACACAACATTGCAGATCAACAACATCAATCAAGGTATAAAGACAGAAATACCCCTACTCTAAAAAAAACAAATTCCTAAAAATATGCAAAAAGTAAATTGGCTTACAAAAAATGCTGACGGAATGAGAAGAGGGAAGAGGATAATTAATATGGTTGACCCGTGAAACCATATTAGACAAACAAGTTTTGTCATCCTGAATTGGCCGATAATTAATAACCATCTTTGCTTTTAGTTTTTTTTTTTTTAAATTGTAAAAAAATGTTTACACATTTGACATGTTGCATGGTCTTATTATTGAGCCATCTCTCCAGCTTATTGGTATTTTAAACTTTAAAGGGCTCTCTCTTGTATCCATTCTTTAACCGGTATGAATAAATTGAGTTATTTATCTCCAAAATGAGATAGCACAGAATTAGTGTAAATTGTTGAAGTTCGATTTTTAATTGAAAATTATATTAACTTTTTCCTTTATTTTTAATCTCCCAACTATTCAATAAAGAATTATTCATAATTGTTTCCTTGCCTAAGCACGGGCCCTTTCTGCTACTTGATCCGAAATTCCGAACTACCGCCGGAGGCTCCGAGGCTCTCAAATCAAGTTATCAACAACACTGCAATCAGCCAATCACACACAACAGCGGTGCTTGCTTGCCTCTGTGTCTTTTGGAAAGTAGACGCAGCACCTGCAGCAGCTATGTCTCGCGACGCGCGTACACCCTTGCTGTTGCGTGTCTCCTTCCTCGTCTTCGTCTTGGTGCTCTACAGTGCTGCTGCAATACTGGGTTCTCTAGCATTAGCTCCAGAGCACTCACCACTCTCTGTTGCGCCGGAAGCTGCAGACCAATGGTAACTCTCTTTGTCTCTGTTTTTCTCTCAGGGGTACCATAAAACAAGGCTGTGCTCCTACCATAAAAGAAAGAAAAAAAAAAACAAGGCTGTGCAACAACCCTTCAAATTCCCACTTCATTTTCTTACCAATCACCTCTCCCCTTCCACTCCCCACACTAATTTGCTTTTCATTTCCTTTTTCAATTACCTTCTCAATCGCATGAAATCACGCCCGTGGCTTGTTTGTATAGGCGGGTCTGTATAAGAAAATGTGGGAAATAGTGTATCGGAAAATTCGAGTTAATTTTCATACTCTAGTTTCCAGGTAACATAGTTTTTTGGAAGCTTGAAGTCAAGAATAGCCTAATAAGGAATTATAGACGTTTATAGCTTGATAGTGATGAGATCTTAGAATGTGCAAATTAATCCCTTTTTTTTTTTATGGATGCCATTTCATATTCTCCTTTGATCAGGACAGCAGGGAGTCTGGTTCTAACTAACAACACCAAATGCAGAGAATACTTAAGTGAAGATGCAAGAATTCTCAAAGTTGCGTTGAAGTTCTTCGATGCCCACTTCTTCAATGATACAGAGGTAACTTTACAATGAAGATGGCCCGCCAAAAACTCTATTATTAATGTGATCATTCTTCTTGAAGTTGTAGGTTAAGCTCAACTTGTCACAGAAACCGTGTTTTGCCTTTTCCGTTAGGTGGAGGAGATGGCCAAGGGTGCAAGGAATATCAATATCCCTATCTTCAGAGCTAATCGGAAGTTAGTCGCTTCTGTTAACGGAGGGTTGCAAGATCCATCTGTTTTGGTTTTCAATCCCGAGTGGAATGGTAGAGAAACATCTCATGAGATCAGACGGTTCAGTTATCCTTATCTTTCTGATGTACGTAGGCCAGATACAGAAGATATTGCTTTCATGAGTGTAAGTCTTTTTGCTACCATTTAAGTATGGAGTGTTGCGTATTTTAATTTTTCTTTTCCCCCTACATTTCATTTATTGGTTGTATGAGGTTCTTGAGCTTGGACATCTTATTAGGACAAAGCAAATTACATCTCAGGAGCTTACTGGGATTTTCCTAAAGAGATTAAAGAGGTAAAGGTGTTGTTTTAAGCTCTCATTTGAAGACTTGTTATTCTCTCTCCCTCTGTGGATGATGCATTGGATAATTCTTTTAGGTATGATCATGCTCTTGAAGTTGTGGTTTCTTACACAGAAGATTTGGCATACAGCCAGGCAAAAGAAGCTGATGATTTACTTGATAAAGGAGTGTATTTGGGTAAGTCCCCAATCCATTAGATGCTCACTTCAATCTTGTATGAATTCTTTGTTGTTCTCTTAAAGGGTAAAAAGTGAATGAACCGAGTAGAGGTTTGTGATAAACAGCAAACTATACGAGTTTTCTCTCAGATCTATTTATGCAAACGTCAAAATCTGTGGCACATTTATAACTTAATTGAGCCATTTTGAGTGAGTGAATGACAAGACATACCGCAATTTTGTTCTCAAAAGAAGAAGGTTTATCTCTATTGTGCAAGTGCAACTGTGACATATGAAGCAAAAAAGGTAAAAAAGGAAAAAAGAAAAAAAGTGCGATTGTGGTATAGTACATGCAGGTTTTTCCAGGACATGTAGATATAATCCATAAGCCTCACTTATGGCATAACCTAGCCCCATAAGCAATATGATTGGAAGTGAATTATGCATTTAAATGAATTGCTTCTAGATAGGGGCAAAGTGGTACAGAGTGTTAGGTTCCATTTGTCCAAAGATCTGTCATGTTATTACTTTCTGTGCTATCAAAAAGTTTTGTTCATTTAAGTTTCTAATAGTGGTTAAATGTTCAAGGTCCTCTCCATGGGATTCCATATGGGTTGAAAGACATAATTTCAGTGCCCAAATATAAGACGACGTGGGGTTCAATGACATTTAAGAATCAAGTCCTTGACGCGGAAGCTTGGGTCTACAAGAGGTACTCCTTTAAAAGCTGGAAACTACACTAAGAAAGCATATTTATCACTGATTGCCTTTTCTGGCTCTTGAAATTTCCCCCAAGCAGACTAAGATCTGCAGGAGCTGTTCTTATTGCAAAGCTTGTTTCTGGATCACTTGCATATGATGATGTCTGGTTTGGGGGAAGGACACGGAACCCATGGAATATTGAAGAATTCTCCACTGGTTCATCAGCTGGGCCTGCCGCCAGCACTTCAGCAGGTTTTTCTTCAGTTCCTTTGTATGCACATTTTTAAGATGGTTCCAGTTTCTTCTTAACTATTTTCCCCAAGACTATGCTTGAATTCTCAGAAGAGTTCAAGCCTCAACATACCTTATCTTCATAGCAAGGGCACTCTATTCCTTAGAAATTTGGGTGCTGACCACATTTAGAGTAGACCCAGTTTTTGAATTATTGATATGGTATTACCACTCATTTTATACATTCCGGCCAATTAATTGGGGTGCCATTACTAATGTCTTTGAACCTTATTAGCATCTTATTTCTTCATCGAATGAATCGTAATGGCACAGACATGGCCGCCCTATATCCAATTACCATGGTGCCAATCACCTTGTTCTCTATAATCTAATATTTCTGGTTCTGCAATAGAATATTTGTCACCATTTTTATGTCTAGGTTCTTAAAGAATAAACCTTTCTAGAAGAGTGTTGTTCTTGCTAATGATTTTCTCTTTATTTCTTTTGCAGGTCTTGTTCCTTTTGCAATTGGTTCAGAAACGGCAGGTTCTATTACCTACCCTTCTGCTCGTTGTGGAGTGACATCATTGCGTCCAACTTTTGGTATTATTGGTCGAAGTGGTGTTATGAGCATCTCTGAGAGCTTGGTAGCTCAGTGACATTTTAGTTTTAAATGTCCTTGGTTTATTGGCTTTACTGGAAAGCAACCCTTGAATCTCTTCTGTTTGACAGGATAAGCTTGGCCCTTTCTGCAGAAACGCTGCAGATTGTGCAGTTGTTTTGGATTTCATTCGAGGGAAGGATCCAGATGACATCTCCTCTAGGGATATCTTTCTTGAGGACCCCTTTTCAGTAGACATCACCAAATTAACTGTTGGATATCTTGAGGATGCTGACATGGAGGTCAAAAAACTCTCTTTTAGTTTACATGATTGTTATCTTTATGAACTATTATATTTTAGAGTACAGGAGTAGTTAAGAGACTGCCCTTGGATTTGGGAGTTAGGCTAAAATTTCTCTGGTGTTCAACTTTGGAATTTCTCATGATTCTTGATTATTTTCACTACCAGGCTGTTCATGTTCTTGCATCAAAGGGTGTTAATATGGTTCCTTTCAAGCTGAATTACACAGTGAATTCTGTTCAAGGCATCTTAAATTTAACAATGGATGTAGATATGTTATCTCACTTCGATGAGTGGCAGCGTTCCAAACAAGATGCTGTTTATGAAGCACAAGATCAGTGGCCCGTAGAACTGCGACGTGCACGCCTGGTACCAGCAGTTGATTACGTGCAGGTTTGTCATCTATCCGTATTAGTCTTTAGATGGAAAATTCAGAATAGCAATGTTCTAATTTTTTAAATTATTGGTCAACCCAAAAATAGTCTGTATTTATTTATATCCAACATTTGCAGAGAAGGAAACAAGTAATAACAGAAGAAGTTAACATTTCCAGATCATAGTCCTTTTGTTAACATTGATAGCATTACCATAAAATGTAAAGTAAGCTATATAAACCACTCATGCTTCCTTCTTACCGAAAAACACAATGCATTGTTTTATATGAACTTATCTGTCAATTTGGGACAAAAATATGTGGACTAGAGGTTTAATACCGAATAGTATTTAAGACTAGCCATGGTGCAGCTTGGATATTAACAAAATGGTAGACTAGTAATATAGAAAAGAATTAAGAGTCTAATTACTATTGCTATTTTCAGAAGCTAAATTTCTGAATTATCCACAGGCACAAAGAGCACGAGGAAAGTTGATTCAGGAAATTCGTGAGAGCTTTACCGTCGATGCATTCATTGGTAATGCGACTGATTGGGAGAAAGTTTGCATGGGAAATCTTGTCGGCATGCCCATCATGGTTATTCCAACAGGATTAAAGAGTATCATGAATCCTCCTCCAAGTGGAACTCGACGTCGAACCACCATCTCAACTGGCATTTATGCTCCCCCCAATCATGATCACATAGTAAGTTTTTGTTCACAAAGGAACATTTGTGATATTATTTCCTTGTAGCTAGCGCCAATATTGGGTAATGGCTCTTCCTCACATTCCCGAAGGCACAGTTTGGGAAGAGTGCAAATACAAATATGTTGAGTGCAAAACCATGTATATGGTATATCTGAACCTTTTATTTTTTTGATAAGTATATATCTAAACCTTTTATTTGCACTCTATATGTTTGTATTTGTACTCTTCCCGAACTGAACCTAAGGCTGTGTTTGGTTGCAATGCAAATAAATTTGTATTGATGCAAAACTATGGCAGTGCAAATGATTTGAATGTAAATTCATATTTTTATTCCAAACTTTAGCCTATTTTGTTTGATTGCAATACAAATGAAGTAAATTAAGACATAAAGCAAAATAAAATAAAATCCAAAACAAAATTAAACGAGAATTTGTATTCTTTTCATATGCATTCTCATGCATTTATACTAGTGCAAATAAAATTGCACTGCAACCAAACACAGCCTAAGGCTCAGTTTGGAAGGAGTGCAAATACAAATATGTACAGTGCAAAACCTTATATTTTGTATTATTTTATATGTTTTTGTACTGTACATATTTGTATTTGCACTCTTCCCAAATACATATATGTATTTGTATTTGTATTTTATATCAGTTTGGAAGGAGTACAGATACAAATATGTAGAGTGCAAAACCTTGTATTTTGTATTATTTTGTATATATTTGTACTGTACATATTTGTATTTGTACTCCTTCTAAATTGAGTTTGGAAAGAGTGCAAATACAAATATTTCAGTGCAAAAACTTATATATGATATTACTAAACATTTTTTTAAACAGAAAGCAGCTTCATTGATTATATATAAAACTGAACATGAGACACGATAGGAGGGCTGTATTCTACATGCATTTGCCCTTTACATGCTAGATACGCAAAAGTGTGGACCGCTTGATTACTGTTTCTATGTACATGACAAAAGTTTAGACATTCAAAAAAGAGAGAAAGTTGCTTGAGTTTTGCTCTGTGTAGAAGCTTGGTCCAGTAAGTAGTAGTTAGATTGTACGACAAAAAATTTACTAGTTGCTGGGAGTCAGAGACAACATTGAGTCATTTGATATTGCATTGAGAAGCTGCTTCCAGACCATCGATCAGTGCTTGAATCTCAGAGTCATAGCTGTTGACGGCTCAGCAAGGTCTGCCTTTAGCTTTAAGAGGACCTGTTGAGTTGGATGATGAAAGCGCATCCTGCAAGCCCTGAAGAAGGATCATAAGAGCCATCAATATAAACAGTTAAATCTGTATATGTGTTGATGTGGCGTTGATCATGATGGTGGACTCTTCCACATGTTGACCTGTAGGTAGATATGATTGAGTCTTTTTTATTATTTCCAAGGGGTAACGTCGAATGCCCTGGAAAATTGTTTTGTTACGTGCTTCCCAGATAAGGTAGAGGATGATGCAGATCTTACCCAATGATTGGTTGATTTCTTCTGTGGGTAGAGCAGTGGTTAATTTTTTTATGCATTGGTTTAAGATCTGGTGGGGGGCATAGTACGAGACTTGCTCTGGTATTATTCTAGATTGTGAGAGTAGAAAAGCTTCTGATAGCTGTTTTGATATAAACTTTATGAAAAGAAGAAGAAAGAAGAAAGAAGAAAGAAGAAAGAAGAAAGAAGAGAAAAGTTTCTGCTAGAAAAGAAAAGAAGAAGAAATAGAAGAGAATGAGAGGAAGCCAAAAAGAATTAGGTCTGACCGCCCTCTTCCTTTTAATTATGTACTCATAAAAAGAATGTACAAGTACAAGTATGCCCTTAGTAGGTTGGCTACTTGTAAGAAGCTAAAAAGAACCACTTAACTAAACATAAACTAATGGGCCTAAGGCCCGATAACTACCTAACTGAATTATGTAAATAAAAAATAAATAAAGTCGGCCCAATAAGAGAACATCGACTCAATAACTCAACACTCCCCTTCAAGTTGGGAATAAATGTCATACATTCCCAACTTGTGTAGATCATGCTCTAGCTTGTTTCTTGCAACACCTTTTGTAAGAACATCAGCAAGCTGCAAATCAGGTGCAACATATGCCAAGCAAACTTCCCCTGAAGTCACCCTTTCTCTTATAAAATGTCTGTCCACTTTAATGTGCTTCGTCCTATCGTGCTAAACTGGGTTGTGGGCAATGTTAATTGCTGTTTGATTGTCATAGTATAGTATCATAGATTCTTTTGCCTCAATCCCAATCTCTCCTAATAAGGAACGGATCCAGAGGAGCCCTGAAACACCATGTGCCATGGTTCTGTATTCAGCTTCTGCACTTGACCTGGCCACAATTGCCTGTTTCTTACTCTTCCATGAAACTAAATCACCTCCAACAAGAGTGCATACTCCTGATGTAGATCTCTTGTCATCTAAACACCCTGCCCAATCAGCATCTGTGTAAGCCTCTAGCTTCAACTGTCCATGGTTAGCAAACAATATGCCTCTACTCGGGTGTCCCTTCAAATAAGAAAGTATCCCATCAATGGCCTCCCAATGCTAAACTCGTGGGGCATGCATGTATTGACTCATCACACTCACTACATAAGAGATGTCTGGTTGTGTCATACATAAGTATTTGCAACCGCCCCACTAATCTCTGATATATCCCAACATCCTTCACTAGTTCACCTTCTAAAGCATTTATCCTGTGGTTCTGATCAATAGGTGTACTAGCTGCCTTTGCCCCAAGTTTCCTTGTCTCCTATAGTAGTCCCAAAACATACTTCCTCTGTGAGATGAAGATTCCATGCTTTGATCTTGCCACCTCAATGCCTAAAAAGTACCTCAGCTCCCCAAGATCCTTAATGTCAAACTCTGTGCAGATTTTCCTTTAAAGAATCACTTACTCAGATCATTTCCTGTAACTACAATGTCATCCACATACACCATCAAAACTGACACCAGGGACCACCTCTTTACAAACAAAGTATATCTAATTAAGTTTGAGTATAGCCAAAAACAACCAAGGCTCTTTTAAACCTGTCAAATCAAGCTCTGGATGATTGTTTCAAACCATATAGAGGCTTCTTCAACCTGCATACCTTTTCCTTTTCCACATCATCATAGAAATCAGTTGGAAGATCCATATACACTTCTTCTTGTAAGTCTCCATTTAGAAAATCATTTTTCATATCAAGTTGGAAGAGTGGCCAAGAGTATGTAGCTGCTAGTGAGAGAAGAATCCGAACTGAGCTCATCTTTGCCACTGGTGCAAAAGTTTCTAAGTAATCTATGCCATAAGTTTGAGTATACCCTTTTGCAACCAGCCTTGCCTTATACCTTTCTATACTCCCATCCACCTTGTATTTCACTGTATAAACCAATCTGCATCCAACTGTCTCCTTGCTTCCTGGTAGATCCACAATCTCTCATATTTGATTCTTAATCAAAATTTTCATTTCCTCCTGCATAAATGTCTTCCACTCAGGTTTGGAGAGAGCTTCACTAACACCCTTGGGTATAGACACGGAGTTGAGGGAGGAAAGGAAGGCCCGGTAGGAAGGAGATAGTCCACTATAAGAGAGATAGTGTGAGATGCAATGGGCAGTACACTTTCTTTTCCCTTTTCTGAGTGCAATAGGAAGGTCAAGGTCATTTGCAATGGGGTTAGTAGTATCAATAGGAACTAAACCATTAGAGGAAGCAAGGGGCATACCTGGATCAGTGTCAGTCGAACCTGGAGTCTCCGAGAAGTCGATAGGAAGTGATGTGGATTCTTTTGCCGTGGAATCAACCTCCCTATGCAGTCGAAGGGACGAAGACACTATTGTGTAAAACACTGAGAAACAGGACGCAAGGGAGGTGGTAAAGTAGGTGAAACAGGAGGGTCGGACATTGGAGTGGACAAAGGGGTTGGAACTGGAAGTGGTATAGATTGCTCACTTCTCCAAAAACTCCCATTGAGAAGAATCCCCCGAGAAGAAAGGTGTGAACTTAAAAAAGGTGACATCCATAGTAACATACCGACCCCCAGAGACTAGGTCATAGCAAGTTAGCAACAATACACCTTCTGGTTTCCTGCATACCCAAGGAAGACACACTTCTTTGCCTTAGGGTCAAGTTTTGAGCAGTGAGGACCAAGAACATGGACAAAGCATACACAACCAAACACCCTTAGAGGAATATGGAACATCTCCCCCTCAGGGAAAAGAAGGCTGAATGGGGTGCTATATCCAAGAATACAAGAAGGCACCTGATTAATCAAGAAAACCACTGTAAGATTTGCATCACCCCCAAAACCGAACCGAAATAGTAGAGGTCATCATTATGCTTCTTGCAACTTCCACAATGTGTTTGTTCTTCCATTCTGCTACACCATTCTGTTGTGGAGTATATGAACAACTGCTTTGATGGATTACTCCATGCTCTGATAGGTATGATGCTAGTATTTTTTTTTTCAAAATATTCCTTGGCATTGTCTGACCTAAACACTTTCACTCGTACCCCAAATTGCGTTAGCACCATCTGATGAAACTGTCAAACCAAAGATGGCACCTCATCATGGGATCTCATCAATTATAGCCAAGAATATCGAGAATAATCATCTACCAACAGAAGAAAATACCGATAGCCACCCATAGAGGGAATATGATATGGCCCTCACACATTAGTATGAACAATATCAAAAGCAGAAGAACATCTTTTATTACTAGCTTTAAAGGAATGTCTACAATATTTTCCAAGTTGACAACCTTCACATTCTAAACTAGACAAATTAACAGACTCAAACAACTTCGGAAACAAGAAACGCAAAGAAGTAAAAGACAAATGCCCTAACCAATTATGCCAAAGCATAATCTGACCCACTGACTCTGACTCAGTGCCGTTGTTGACATGATGACTTTGATGACTAGGAAGCGCATCAAGAAGGTAAATTCCATTCACCTCATGACTACTCCCAATCATCCTCTTTGATTCCAGATCCTGTAAAACACAATGACCAGGGGAGAAAATTA